GTGATCTAAAAAATAGAAAATTCCAAATTCCAAATAATTTCTTTGTGTATGCATGCAATGGAGCAAAAAGCATAATCATATAAAGCACAAAACTTTTCAATTCATATAATTCATATGTACATAGAATTAACGTTGATCAAATCACACAATCTTTTCGTAATTTCTATTTCTTTCTTTCATATTCGTTCCAACATGAAATCAACCCTTCAAGTCATGATAACCACTCTAAACAATAATCACACAATAAAACAAGGATTTAAATTATATACAATGATACAGACGATCCCAATCCATTGAATTTTCACTTTCAATCGTTTACCATCAAAAAACAATTCTTACATACATAGGCTTAGTCCAAAGTTTGAACGATGAAATCAGCAGTATCAACATGCATGTTAGTAGTCTTGACACCATAACTTCCTATAGAGTTTGAACTTTCTTGATCATGGTGATGATCAATCAACCCAAGTTTCTTATTTTGGCTACGACGACGAAAATCGGAAACATTATTGTCATGAATGTTGGAGGTTGGAATTCCGCTGGGTATGTTATTGTTGTTGTTGTTGTTGGAGGGTGGGTGATAATAAATCCGAGCAGTCTGAGGGCAATGAGAATGAAACCTAGCTACTATTCTCACACCTACATCCACCATTTCCATGCATTTCCCCATAGATTTTTGGAAAATTTAGAGAAAAAGTATAAGTGCAAGAGCTCTTAAAGATGGTTGAGAAAAGAACGAGAGAAATATACTGAGGATATAAAATTTTGTATAGGGGAGTTTGAAATTTTTGTTTCTTCAAATTGGCTTTGACATTAGAGTTTTTTGTTGCCCTTTCCCTATGGTTTGGAGTCTTTTTGACTTGTTAATTATGACTTCTCCATATGTGGCGGGTCACAATATCAAAGATTTTGTCAAATTGAGATGTCATATAGGCCGACGTAAATTTTGGTCAATAATATAATAATCTAGACAAAAATTGTAAGCTGCAAATGAAATGAACCGTACACATTGGACGGAATTAGTCCTATATATTTGCTAGTCATAAGGGCAATGCAATTTACTCAACATAGAATAGCATATTATTAGCTTAAATGTGTTATAAGATTCATCAAATAAGTATAAAATAATATATTTCGAACTAAATAAATCAAGCTGTTTGTGATTGAATTTTGAATTCGAACACATAAAGTTCAAATTCAGAATTTGTCTTTGGGCTANTGTTTTCAACTTTACAGAAATATGACGAATGAAAACCAAACTAATGGAAGTGTTGCAGGAACGGTTGCTGCTGTTAAAAGCCGTTCTACTCCTGCTCATGCTATGGCACCGGCAGAAAAACCCGGAAAGTTTTCCGGGATTGACTTCAAACGTTGGCAAATGAAGATGCTCTTCTATCTTACTACGTTGAGTTTGCAACGTTTCATTAAGGAGGATCCTCCGGTCATGGCTGATAGTACTCCGGATGATGAACGACTTGTTGTAACTGAAGCATGGAAACATTCTGATTTCTTGTGCAAAAACTACATATTGAGTTGTTTGGAAGATGACTTGTACAATGTCTATAGTGTCATGGAAACTTCAAAAGCATTATGGAATGCACTAGAGAAGAAGTACAAGACTGAGGATGCCGGACTTAAGAAGTTCGTAGCTGCAAGGTTTTTGGATTTTAAGATGATTGACACTAGGTCCGTCATAACTCAAGTCCAAGAATTACAAGTCATTGTGCATGACCTCCTTGCTGAAGGTATGACC